ATAAATAAATAATGTAAATGTTCGTTTGTTCAAAATCTTAAATCTCCTAAAGTTCTTCACTGATTGCTTTGAAATTTTGACACAACATTGCATTCAAATACGCACATGTTTTTATATACCTATATTATATAGATGTCACACCTATGACGGGTAAAACATACTTTTTTAAAAACCAGGGCCATCTGTTGGACATAAAAGTAACACACACTATACTAAATATTTCACGATTTCATTTCAATGTTTCTGATTGCATTGTTATATTGCATTTACATAGATTTCAATGTATTTTGATTTTGATTTAATTATTTTGTGTAACATTGTATTGGAATTGAGCTGTGTCTTTTACCATAGCATTCATTTTGTGAGTATAGTATATTTGGAACTGTTCGGCCTCTCTCCAGCTTTATCCCGATGGTCCCTTTATATGTGTGGCTGGGCTGCGGCCACATCCTTTCCCCTTTCTGCACCTCCTCCAATGAGCTTTGGCCATTTCTGCCAAACGGAGACAAAGCCCTTCTGCCTTCCCCTCCCCTCTCTCCCCTCCCCTCCCACTGGGCCTTTGCTGTCTGTGGCAGGGTGGCCGGCTTACACCCACCTAGCCCAGCAGAGCTCCAGAGGAGGCAGAGGTGGAGCATTTCCTCAGCCCCACCAGCCACGCACGCTCTCCACCCATCTCCCTCACAGCAACCAACTACGGCCTCATCAAGGTGGCAGTGGTGTCAGCATGAGTTGCAGCAGGGCTGGGGCGGCCACTGCATGCCCCGCAAGTGTCTCTGGATGGGGCCGCAGCCGGTGGGGGCTGCCTCACATCCACGTCACCAGGGGCGGCTTGTTCCTCCTCCTTCTGCTCCTCAGGGAACGTCGGTCACTTCCTCTCACTGTTGCCACTGAGGGAAGCTGGGTTGGGGGCAGCGGCCTCCTCCTCCTCCTCTCCTCCTCAGCCCTGCTGGGATGGCGCCTGAGGGAGGCATCGTTGTCATCGGTGGTGGCGTCAGATATTCCTCCCACCGGCCCCCAATGTAGCAGCAGCCGCAGCAGCGTGACTCAGAGGCGGAGGCACAGGAGAGGAAGAAGATGGTAAAGCCCATGATACTGCCTCAACGGGCTGGTGGCAGCAGCAGCAGCAGCAGTGCTGGCTTGGAGGACTTCCCGCCCAGCCTGCCTCCCCTGGCCTCCGCTACTATCTCCATCTCCTCCTGCCCTCCCAAAGTGCCTCCTCCACAGAGCCTGGCACTGCAGGGAGGAGGAGGCATCGGGGGTCTGGCAGACGTCCAGTTGAAGATGAAGAGCAGCTTCCAGATCACCAGCATGACCCCGGCGCAGATCTTGGGCAGCCTCAGCTCCAAAAACAGCAGCACCAAAGACATGGAGAACTACGATGACCTGGACAAGTCACACACCGAGGACTTCTCCTCCTGTGAGATACTGGATGTCTTGCTCTCCTGGGCCACCAGCTTGAGTGCAGCTCTTCTGAGGAGATGCTCAACAACTTCCACGAGGCCGACAGACCTGGTGCCGTCTCTGCTAACCAGCCTCACCCAGCCTAGCAGCCTCCAGGCCTGAACAATGGCAGCGCCCAACTGCACCCCACTATACCCATGGGGGACACCCCCAGCCTCTCTCCCACACTGGGGTCCCCCTGCCCATGTCTGGAGGGTCCCCATCCAGCCCATCTTTCCAGAGGCTGCCCATCATGGGGAGCTTGGAGGGCGTCAGGCTGGGACCTGCGGGAGCGTCTTCCATGGCAGCTCTTGCCACCGTGGCTCACTTCCATGCGGGGGCCGCCTCTGCTGGGGGAACCATGGCCGGTGCCCAGGTGGGCAAGATCCTCACAAACCTTGCTGCTGCTAGCAACAGCATGACCATGCCCGGAGGAAATCACCCTCGGAATGTTTATTTCTTTGCATGCTATTCATAAATGTGTACAGTCCAACATCTTTTCAGCAATTGAAATATTTTTTTCACATGGACAATTATATGGTGCATGTTCTCAAGTCGGCAAACCAGACAATCTCTATATCTGCACAGACAACGAAAGAACAAAGAATATTGTATACCCGCAAGCATTGTGAAATTAAACATATTAGAAACTTGTGCTTTCTCTTTTCTTTCTTTTCCATTTAACCAGGCTGGGTCACAATAACACATGGCCAGGTACAGCTAGTATGTGTGTGTGCATGTGTGTGTGCGTGTGTGTGTGTGAGAACCAATCTACCAATCATGATACAACCACACAATCAATCAATCAATCCACTTACTGAAACAAAGTCAGCACTCCACACACCCCCACTAAGATTTATAGAAAGACAGCAGCTCCGACCACCCTTTAAGCCAAAAACACCAGCCTGAAGATGGCAAGTGAGACATCACCGAAAGGTTGCCAAGACAATCTCAATCTTAAATAAGAAAGGACCCAAATACAACAAGACCAGCATACATACATACATACATACATACATACATACACACACGTATGTATGTATGTATGTATGTATGTATGTATGTATGTATGCACACCACATATGAATTGAATTTTCACCTGAAATGTAGCAGTGGTAGAAAACAAGGATGTAAATATTACAGCAGCAGTTAAAAAAAGGCTATAAATGCAAATTTGTTTCATCATGTACCACTATTAAGCATATGCATGAGATACTAAAATCATACTTAGTTTTTTTAAAAAAAATATCTGTCTAAATGTCAACTAAACTGTCTCCATGTTTGTGCTCTACACTCTTCCTTAAGCCTTTCATGTTTAGGGAAATATATGAATAGGCCCATTAAAAAAGTATGCACAACTTTTTGAACTGTTGAAATATGTGTGCACATGCACACACAGACACATATAGATAGGGATGCTGCTTAAGTTTGACCAATCTTCCTAAAATCTTGTAAACAAGAGGCCACTTCATATAAGTTATGAGCTATATGTTCAAAAGGAGTCTTGGTGTTATATAACAAGTTAATCCAGGAAAATATATTGACTAATAAAAACCTTCAACTAGATGAAAGAATCCTGGTCCTTTTCTAAAGAAAAAATGTAACTCAACACAATATATTGCATGGTTATTAAATACTAGCATAGAACTATGGCTAGAACTATGGCAAAATCTCCACCCATAGATTCCTGTGAAAAGGAATAATAACAATAATAGAAATGCAGAATCTTCAAATCACATAGTATTCAGAATGTGTATCAGAAAGACCTGGATCCTGAGAGACCTGAGAAAACCATAAAGCCCACTTGGGAGCAGAAAGTCTTTGAGATGATTGTGAAATTGAAACCTGTGGGAGAAACCTGTGTTTTAAATGCCATAGAGTCATTTCAATAGGTAACATATTATTTTACCAATGCTATCTTCTATTAGATCAAACACAACTTTTTCACACTGTTATTCTGTTGTACTTCCTTTTCAAGATTTTGGGAGACAAGCAAGCATTTCATCTACTGGCAGACTTGAGGGTAAATGGTAGAAGTATTTGCTGCTACAAATGAATTCTACTTGTCACCTATAGATGTATTTTTCTTTCATTGTATTGTTTTCAGTAATGTATTATTGTTTTATCCCTGATTAATTTTACCTCTTATCAATTAGATCTCCTCAAGTATCCATTGGCATAGATGGACATCTTTTGCTTTGCTTTACCACAGCATACTGCTTCAAAAGAAGCAAGAGTAATGTTTCTTGTGAAAAGTAAGCAGTTAGTGGAAGTGAAATGTGTTTATTACATCTATCTTTGATGTTTTAAACAATAATAATATTAGATGTCTAACTTATTTCACAAAGAAATGCAGTGATTAGTTCTAACAATTAGAGAAGAAAAATGACTGTAGGGGAAACCAAATGAATACTATTATAAGAAATATCCAAATCAAATGAGTGTTGGGCAAGTCTGTTTTAAGTTTGGCTACATTTTGTCATGGATTTTATTATTATTATTATTATTGTTGTTGTTGTTGTTGTTGTTGTATTTTAAAGTAGTCTATACCGTTGTAGCTACCTCACTACAGTCTTCTCTCTTTTATACTCCATTCTGCCCACCAGTATTTCTTTCTCAGCATTTTAGTAATGGGAAGATATCTTAAAGTAAATTAAGTTAAAAAAACTGATGAAAAACACATAAATCACTAAGTATGTGTTGATTGGACCTACATCAGGGACAAAGTCATTAATGATAAAAAGTTAATCTTCTCATAGGAACAGTCCAAAAGTTTCCTTAACAGACTTCTTTTTAATTATATAGATCAAATGCTGCCTAGATTGTAACATAACTATATTTTTATAAAAAGCAATAGTCTCTTTTGCATTCCCTAACTAAAAAAAGTGGGTTTCTTGGTAAAATTATATACATGATACAATTTGATACTAAAAAATATTGTGAAACTGAATCTGATATTGACTAAGATAAGATTTTAACTTGAAATATTCTGATTCAAAGCTAAAACTTTTTCAGGAAAAATTATCCTGTTATGAATGGGAAATGGGGAAAGCATCTTAAACTTCTGGCCATGAAAATAGGATGGGAGAATGAATGAAACTTGAAGACCGTGTTGAAATGCAGAATACTAACAATTTAGTATTTAGTCTGAGAAACTGAGGATCTAAAATAATGGTATATAAAGGGGCGAAGAGTTTCCACCATGAACACGTAATAATAAAAAAAAATTGGCTGGAGCCATGATTAAGCATAAATGTGATAAGATAATAACTACTTTTTTTCTCCCTTCATATCTAGTGAAAACCTACATCATGTTCTTATCAGAAACTGGGAATCAAACATCTGTTACAGAATTCATATTATTAGGATTTTTAAATATTACACATGGAAGGAACTTCTTCACCATCCTTTTCCTTACTATGTATATTATCTGCATTTCAGGAAATTCATTCATAATTACTGTAACTATGTTAAATCGATCTCTCCATACACCCATGTATTTTTTCCTTGGCAATCTTTCTTTCTTGGATATTTGTTATATCTCTGTGACTGTACCAAAAATGTTAGCAAGTCTTTGGGTGCAGTGTCCCATCATTTCTTTGACAGATTGTATAGCACAGCTTTATTTCCTTGTTGCCTTAATGAGCACTGAAGGATTCCTACTTGCCTTCATGGCTCTTGACCGCTATTTTGCTATATGCTGCCCTTTGGTCTACACCAGACTCATGACTAAATGCACCTGTCTCCAGCTAGCTACCATATCTTGGGTTTGTGGTTTTGTAAATTCTTCTCTCCATACAACACTCACATTCCGTTTGTCATTCTGCCAGTCTAATAGGATTAGTCACTTTTTCTGTGACATCCCCCCATTATTGAGTATCTCATGCTCTGATATACTATTTAATAAAGTTGCTATTTTCACAGTTGGCATATTTATAGGTCTTAGCCCTTTCTTTTTAACATTGGTCTCTTATGCATTCATCCTTCATGCTATTATGAGCAACGACCACAAAGGACGGCATCACAAAGCCATTTCTACTTGTGCATCTCACATTCTAGTTGTGATTCTGTTTTATGGCTCTGCTATCTTCACATATTTCAATCCCACATCTACTCATTCATTTGAAAAATATCAGCTTGTGGGGGTTTTATATAATATTTTGACTCCCACACTCAATCCCATAATCTACAGTTTACGGAACAAGGAAGTGAAACTGGCTCTGAAGAAATTGATGTGTCTGAGATAACTGGTCCATAGTAGTTGGGATCCAATTAAATTGTCTTAAATCAGCTTTATCCAACTTATACAGTATAGGGAAGAAGATGAACAAAAGAAATCTTGTATAAAATATGTTATCAGCCAACATGTGGCACATAAGACGAGTTATGCTGCAAGTCCTCTTTCTTTCTTTCTTTCTTTCTTTCTTTCTTTCTTTCTTTCTTTCTTTCTTTCTTTCTTTCTTTCTTCCTTCCTTCCCTTTCTTTTCTTTCTTTTCTTTCTTTCTTTCTTTCTTTTCCTTCCTTTTCTTTCTTTCTTTTTTCTCTTTATTCATCCATTTTTCTGCCTTATGACATAATGCTGATAATTGTCAAAATAAAGTTATATTTAATTAAATTTCTTCAATAGTTCCTAAATTATATGAATGAAGGAAAGCATTGTTGTTCTTGAAAAACATGATAAATCTTTCAATTGCTATTGATATTCATTCTCTTTGTTTATTCTGAATTGTAATTTAGAAACAAATTGATGACATACATTTTTTAAAAATATCCACATTATATTGTTTGATATTACTATCATTAATTAATTTTAGGGTATGGGCTATTTCATTTTTTTTTGTTCTGTTTGGGGAAAATGCATTGCAAAATCTAATAAATAGAAATATTGAATACTTGCTATTTTAATATTGTTTGTGATATTCATATCTTGAAACTACATCATAAAATCAATTCAAAGGAAATGTATGAAGAGATGTTACAGCTAAACACTGTAACACTTTTAGGATAAAAGCTTATATTTGAAAATATAATATAGAAAGTGTCAAGTCATTTTACTTGGTTACATCATTTCCCATTGTTCATTCCTAAATGAAATGTGTTAATGTTACTGAATCTCATCTTATGTCAGTTCAACATTATTATAACTGATTCCATATTTTCAACAAATTAAACAAAGTTGCTGAATATGATTACTGAAAACATAACAATGGGACTTGTATCTATTCATAGTTAATTGAAATAAATATCTCTACATAAATCTTTAAGATAGTTCAAATTTAAGAAACAAAGCATTCTTATAGAAAGAAGGGAAAAAACAACAATATCTGAGGTATCTAGAATTTCCTATTGTAACAATGTAAGTTATAACAACTTTTATCTTAAACGTGCAGAAGGAACTCCTATGAACAATAGTTTATAAATCCAAATTAAAATTCCCAGTCCAAACATCGAATCTGTAAAATAATCAATATTGCTCACCCTTCTATATTATTCCTACCTATCTATCTATCTATCTATCTATCTATCTATCTATCTATCTATCTATCTATCTATCTATCTATCTATCTATATCTATATCTAT